TTCTTTGGATCGATCTCTTCTGCCATCAACTTTTTGCGTTATAGGCGTGCCTCAGGCTTTCTGTTGTTAATTATCGATTTTACAAATGTGATCATTTTAAGAAGTATAGACTGATATCTGATATTGATGGCATGTTTTAGAACGTCAGAAGCACATAGCTCTAACTCAAGCATCTCCCTTCGTTTGACTTTCGACAAATGACAGCCATTTTCATATTAAGATCTTCTCTTAAGGTAATTGAGCAGGCAAATACCATGCTCAATCGTATGGAGCACCGAGGAGCATGCGGATGCGACGACGAGACGGGGGATGGAGCTGGTGTAATGACTGGAATACCCTATGAGCTCTACGAACGCTTTGCTAGGTGAGTTCGTCGTATACTTCTTCGCACTGGGTCTAGAGTAGATCAACAGTCGGCTGGTCGTGAGGAAACTTGCAATTACCTGCGTAGTTCTTAATGTTGATTTGGACTAACATGGAGCGCTATTGCCATGGCTTGACTGCGACGAAATCAATAAAATGTTTATAAAATTCTAGGTGACTTTTTTAGAATTTTAGAACTGAAGTGCTGAGTATGTTAAGTACTTGGTCTTGTCAGGGTGATTTTGCTTTTACCTGCTTTAATTAGTGCTGTAGTAATCCACAAAAGAACTGAGAAACGAATATACCGTGTCAACATTGTTTAATACTTTGGAACATTTCTGAGGCTGGTTTCATTCTGACTCTTAATTATGTATCTAATCGCTAAGTAACGGCGCATTATTTTCCGTTTCGGAGGATCCATTGTGAGTATGAATTCCGTCTCACAAACGATATGGGTTTTAATACTTCCTTCAAGCTACTGCTGCTTGAAAATTTGGCCCACTCTTTAATTGCGTCCAAACTTATTTTGAAAGCGTGAACTGACTATCTAGCTGATCAGCCATGGAAGCAAATTGTAAGCTGGAGACTGTTTTGTCACCAATTCTGGCAGCCACTATGATGCGTGGCTTTATGATTGTTGAGAAACCGATTTCTCATCGAAAACTCTGAAGCAGACATTTATTCGGTTTGTTCTAGAGAGGCAGGTGTAACACTACCGACACTAGGTGAATTTGCTGTGGGGATGTTCTTCGTCAACGGGAAGGACAAGGTAGAGGAGGCAATGAATCGATTCGCCAAATATGCTGACGAGTGCGAAATGCGGGTTGGTTGCACAAGTTATTGGGGTACTTTTAAGATGCTTCTGTTACTGCTACACCGTTCGCCATTCTGTCTTTCAGGTTCTGTTCTGGCGCAAGGCAGACGTCAACAACTCGCAAATTGGAGTAGTTGCAGCCTCAGCAGAACCGGTTACGGTTCAGGTAAATGTTATTTGAGGTTTGAAACAAGTTTCCTAAATTAGAACTCCCTTTGGTTCTTATTTTCCGTAACTTATAGGTCTTCGTCGAATCAAGTAGGAAGGAGGAAGACTTCAAAAACATGAAATTTATCTGCAAAGTGAGTTAAACCTCTCGCCTACCTTCACATAAGAGCAAGTGTCCGATCAAACTTGAGCGCCAGTCTATTTAAACTCCGAGTGATTTTAAAGATTTGGAGGTTAAGAGAGTAGTGTTTGATAAGATTTAAAGCAAAACTTGCCTATATTTCTAGATGTTCACACAGAGCTGAGTGGAAGTCTTTAGCAATAGATGCGTTCGTGGAGAAATGAAGCCTCGATAAGATTTCGCTGTCGCTCAGTGGATTTCATATTTCCTACTTTATGAAAAATACTTATTTTTGCTCCGACATGAAGCGGTAAATCGGAAATTAGCATCGACCTTCGTTCCTCCAGCTAGACGCTTTGATCGTTTCTTCCCAAGATGGCGAGTTCTTGTGGGGGCTCTCGAATCCGAGCCTAGGTTCTATCTTCTTTCTTTAATTTCAGGTATTCTTTCTTCGGAAATATGCTTCACATGGATTTGAAAAGGATGAGATCGCCTATATATGCAGTCTGTCGCCGAATACTGTGGTTTACAAGGTTGGTTAAGGGGTTTCGCTTATTGAAAATCTGCTCTATTTTCGATGCAAACATTCATTTAGGGGATGTTTACGAGTCGCCAACTATGGGACTATTTTGAGGATCTTCAGTCGCCCGACTTTAAGACTCATTTCGCGATCGTGCATAATCGCTTCTCGACTAACACCTTTCCTTCGTGGTCCCGGGCTCATCCGCAACGCATGATGGCGCATAATGGTGAAATTAACACACTCCGAGTAAGTAAGGAGTTTTAAAGTTAACTTATGACACTTGTTGGGAGGTATGTCAGGATATTATCTGGGAAAAGCTTTGCTCCATTCTAACCAAGTCACCTCTGAGGCAACTTTGAAGCTGAAATGTTGTATAATTTGATGATTGTGAAAGGGTTATTGGTCATTCCATCGTACATTTTTGACACGATTTCTGCTCCCTTAAACTACCGGCATTACAGAGATGGACTCATTATTGCTGATTAATCATGCATACGTTACACATTTTTCGGTGCTTTTTTGAGATTAAATTGATCATAAAGCTGCATCCTCACTATTGGGGTCAATTATTACTAAAATAATGAGTTAGCTGCACTGCTGAATACGATTTAAATACAGTAGCTGCTAGCTTTGGGAACCATGTATGATGCTACATTCAATTTTTGCTTCTCACCGACTACCGAAGCTGTGCTAACCGCAATCAAATCAGTTTCGCCGACATTCTTTCTCAGGAATGTAGCTATGACAATTGCCTGATCTTTACCGCTTTTATAGAGGTGGCACAAATGGGTCTTTCCTGAACAAACCCAAATCCTTATCATTGCTAAAGATTGTGAGAATTGCTGCCAAGAATCCAGATAATACCAACAGCTTTTCTATGGTAATTCTGTAAATTGTCAAATGGCCTCCAAAGGTTAACCAGTAAAACTCTCAGAAGAGCTGGAAATCATTATGCGTGGTGTAAGTAGGTTTTGTATAATGCCTCCCCTTGGACATTCTCTTCATTATCTGATTTTAGGGTAATGTGAACTATGCACGAGCGCGTCAGGCACTAATGGAAAGCACACGGTTTGGAGAGAGGCTTAAACAGCTTTTTCCAATCATTGAGAACGGCATGTCGGACTCAGGGTGCTTTGACAATCTTTTGGAGTTCCTGTGCTACTGTAGCACACGGTCCCTGCCCGAAGTGGTAATCTCTATGATTCCCGAGGCCTGGCAAGCCGACGAGGCCATGCCTCAGCAAAAACGCTACTTTTACAAGTGGGCTGCCAGCTTCCTTGAACCTTGGGATGGTCCCGGTGAGCCTCATTTTATCTATTTATACTGATTTTTGGCAACATATCCGTGCATTAAAATAAGTAACATTTAGCTTTTCCATTTTCTTATTCCGCCCAGTTGATTCCAGACGCAAAGCAGGAACTACTAGGGATTGTAGGATAGATATGATTCACTTAATGATTCCGTAAATCGCTCTAAAATCTAAGGCTGCTACTTGCTCGAATAACGGCGTAATTTTTGCATTCTTTAGTTCCTAGCTTTTGCAAAGCGTCATCCACCTCGTCAAAATCCAGTCGTCTTCAAATAAATGAGACGAAGTAACAATCACTGTTTTTAGGAACACAGGCTAGCCACCATTTCTATATTCAAGCTCATGATACATCATCTTAGCTCTTTTCTCCTGATTCTAGCACTGGTCGTTTTCTCCGACGGTCGGTACATCGGCGCTATTCTAGACAGAAATGGTCTGCGTCCCGCACGCTACTACACTACTACCGATGGCATGATCTATATGTCCTCTGAGGTCGGTGTAGTCGATCTACCTGATGTGGTTGGTGTCAAGGCTAAATGCCGATTAAAGCCGGGTCGTTTGCTCATCGTGGACACGCAAGCTGGCGAGTTGCTCAATGACGAGCAGTTGAAGCAGGACATTGCTTCTCACTACCCAATTTTTGAGTGGGTTCATAAAGGAGTGAGTATCTTCCTATTTATTCACTACAAATTTCCGGTCAATAAGAATTTAGGTGGAAGCGCATCTTCTATTGTCTCATCAAATTTGAGCTAATTAGATCATTATTGATCCTCAGCTTCTAAATGTTGTTTTGGCGGTAGCAGCTTACACACGTTTCTGTATTGCTTATAGGAACTCACCTATTCTTGGATTAACGGCGAACATGAAGCTTAGTAGATTTTTGCTTTTTAGCGCAACGTTTCCGACATTCAGAAACCTATATTTTTAATGACAACAACCAAGGGTTTGGATCCTTATTTGACACTAGCGACCTTTGCTTCTGGCTTATATACGAGATGATGTGCGCCCTCAATCCTCGTTCCTAGTGTTCTGTAAATGAAAGCAGGTAAAACGATCTAAGTTACGTGCTTCTCAAAATCGCTTCTAACCTCACGAATTGTCCAATCCTTTGTAGCCAATGCTGCTAAAAATATGAATTTTCAGGGTCATTTATGAGATTTCTGTGTCTAATATGAATGGTTCTGGTGGTGTTAGGAACCTGAAGT